GCCAAAAAAAAAAAAAAAAAAAAAAAGTAGTTGAAATGCACTAAGTGAAGTACTATTGTAGGTTAGCTAGTTAGCCATGCCCAAATTATTTCATTTCAAGAAGCATGAAAATGCAAACTACAGACTTCAGTCAGACTTAAAACTCCAGTTCTAGACCGAACTAGAGATTTTTTAGATTGGGCTAAATTTTATTGTGAGGCCTTTATAATTTTGGGAAGAGATGATTAGTTGTGCATTTTGCCTAAATTAGGAGAAATTTGGAAGTGAAAAATTGATGATTGACTTTGCATGAGCTCAGTTCAGAGGAAGGATTTTAGAACACTGATACTGGAAAAGATAATGTTTTGATTTCTGAATTCTTTACTAGCTCTGCATACTGAATCCTAAATGTCATAGTTCTTTCAGAATTACTTATGTAGGCAAAGGATGAGAGAAGAGTTCTGCTTTGAATCATCCTGCACATTGGTTAACATAAAACCTGAAAGAAAGTAAACCCTTGGACACAGTTTTTCAAATCATGGGAATATCTCCTCAGATTATCCATCCTGTTATCGTAGTTCCAGAACAGTTTAGAGAAACATCTGAAGGACTTCAAATGGAGATATGGTGCTGTGGACACTTGAAAAGTAAAGAAATAAGGCCTTGGATTTCAGCTTTTTTAGTGTGAAAAAAATTAAAGGATATTAGAATTGGAAGAATTTGTTTATTGCTCTGTCCTCATTTAAACGTAAATTGGTTGTATGTGGGTGGGGTGGAAATAACAGTGGAACAGCCACTGAGACCTTAGTAAAGGTGCATGAAGAGGGGATGACATTGGGAAGTGATGAATGAATTGTGTGATGAAGTTGAAATATTTTGGCTCCCGGATAGAAGGACGGGAATAAATGTTAGGGAAGCTGTGACAAGCAGATATATTTGAATTTAGGAAAAAGGAAAAGTGAAGCAAATTGGTGTGATTGGGCCTTAAAAATAAGGAATGTGAGATTTTGCTTGTAAGGTTGAAACAGTAACCTCAAAGACATTTCCTTTTTTAGTGATAACCATTATTATATGACAGGTAGATGCAGAATACAGGATAAAAGTTACCTGTAGTCTTTCCCACCAGCATTGTGATTTTACTTTTAGAAATACAAAATTGAAGCCACACATGGGATATGCGTGTCCTAGCACCTGGGAGCCTGAGGCAGGAGGATTGCTTTGAGTTCAAAGCCGTGCTGGGCTACATAGTTAGAACAAGGCCAGCTTGGACTACTAAGGGAGACCCTGTCTCAAAAAACAAAACAAATGCAAAATCAGTATAGGTTCTACTATAAAATTCTGTTTTGGGGGCCATTTGTTTTGATCTGTCCCTTTTTTTCCCTTATGAAATACGAGGACTGCAGATTAAATGCGAACAAAATATCAATTAAGAAAGTAGCTTTCTGTCTTTTTGCAAATGTAAATTGAAGAGTTGAGAAAGCTGGAACTATTAAAATTACTTCCATTTATATAGAATGTTGTAGAAAATTCAGAGGACATCAAAGTTACCTCACCACTGCTTGCTTCTGCTGTTTTTAATTGAACCTGTACATATCTATTTAGAGGGCTTAAAGGTTTAACTAACTTAAGAGGTAGGTTATAATTAAAATGATTAGAGATAATTTTCTGAGAAGTAAGAAAAACAATTTTTTAAAAACATAGTAAAATTTCTTTCCTGTGGTCAACCAACACATGCTTGAATCACTTTTGTCTGCTCGCTTCCAGCAAATATACTAACATTGGAATGATAGTCACTTTTGTATGTCCATCAAATGGTTCTGACTGCTGAGGAGTGCGCATTATATATATTTTAATCACTATTTCGTGATTTAGTTCTGCAGAATAGTTTTATTGATCATGACTGAAAATTTTAATGTATAAACAATACTGGCTAGGAGGAGTTATAACTTGAAAGCCCTGCTTACTTAGGGAAAACTGCTTGTGCATGTGTTACTCTCTTCTTCCCTGCAGTTTTCAAGGCAAGCATGACATGAGAAGACTGTCATTGCAGATTTATTGAATTCCTATTGGAAGAATCTCTCTCTCTCTCTCTCTCTCTCTCTCTCTCTCTCTCTCTCTTTTTTCCGGTGTAACCGGGGATTGAACTCAGGTCCTTGCGCTTGCCAGGGAAGCGCTTATTCCACTGAGCCATCTCCCCAGCCCCAGAAGAATCTCTTGCCAGGCGAGTGCTTGTTCTACTGAGCCATCTCCCTGGCAAGAATCTCTTAATAGGCAGCTATGCTTTATTTATTTTTTGTATTTAGGATAGGATGTGCAGGGTGTCACTGTGTAGATCAGACTTGTAGTAGTCCTGTTTACAGTCTCCCAAGTGCTGGGATTACAGACGCATGCCACCACACTCAGTCTCAGTCATCTCTTAGCGTGCCCAAGGGGCGGGGCCGGCCCAAGTTTGGATTTGAGGAAGATGTTGGAATGTGAATAATATTTTGCCAAAAGTACCTCCTGACCTTTATTCCGCCACAGACTTATCCTCCACTTTTTTTTTTCCTCGTTTGTTTACTTGTTTTTTGCGGTACTGGAGATTGAACTCAGTACCTTGTGCTTGCCAGGCAGGTGCTTATGCCACTGAGATATATCCCCAACCCTCCTCCACAAACTTTAAAAAAAAAAAAGAAAAAGTAAACTTAGAGAAATCAGTTTGTAAAATTGTAATGTAATTATAATGTACAGTTTTGCACCCATCAAAAATGAATAGACATAAATCTACAGTATTTTCTGCTGTGCTAAATTTTATCATGTGGCTTTTGGAGTTTTGGGGAGGAGTGTTTTGTTTTTGTATAATTGGGAACCAAACCCAGGACCTCTGCACTGAGCTACATTTCCAGCTTTTTTGTTTTGGTACCAGGATCAAACTCAGGACCTTGTGCTTGCTTGGCTGGCACTTGAACTGCTGAACTATCTCCCCAGCCCCTTTTTTATGTTTATGCCTAAATCTTAGGAGAAATTTGTAAGTGAAAAGTTGATAGTGACTTAGTTTGCAAGTTCAATTCAGAGAGAGGGTTTTAGAACATTAACATTGGAAAGGATACAATTTTTATTTCTCAGTTCTTTTAGTCCTACACACTGAATCCTAACCTCTCTAAAAAATTTATTGAAGTAGGGAATTGTGTAGAAATGTTATAACTGTATATTATGTCTTTTGGCTTCAGAAATAGGCTTAAGGACTTACATTAGGAATTTCAAGATTGTCTCACTTGTGATCTCTCTGTTAGACTAGAAAAAAACCGAACATTTTCAGACTTGTTGACCTTCTAAGTTAATTATATTTTAAGCTGGAGTTAAGTTTAGTTGATAATTTAAGTGCATGACAGCATGCATGACATCTCATTTTCATATTAAAAAGTAATATTTGGTGTTACACCCCAGTAATCCCAGTACTCTAGAGGCTGAGGTAGGATGGCAGGTTTGAGCAGAGTCAAATTTAGTGACTCAGCAACACATGTTCTCAAAATAAGAAAAGGGCTGGGGATATAGCTCAATGCAGAGGCCCTGGGTTCATTTCTCTAGTACTGAAACAAAAACTTTGGGCAAACACACATCAGACTTTTTTTTCTCTCCAGACTGTTAAATCCAGTCATCTTAATTACAGCAGGAAGAAGAAATAATAGGTACTGGCAAGTTTGTGGGTTTTTAAAATTTATTGATGTATTTTCGAATAACCGGGGATTGAACTCAGGCCCTTGCACTTGCCAGGGAAGTGCTTATTCTACTGAGTCATCTACCCAGCCCTCTTTTTGTTTTCCAGACAGGGTCTTGCTTTGTAATTCAGGCTGGTTTTGAACTCACTGTGTGGCCTAGGCTAGCCTCAGCCTCCTGAATGCTGGGATTATAGGTGTGTGCCATCACTCTTGGTTCAATTTGTGTATTTTAAAAGACTTTTATTCTGGGACTATATATTCCAAGGATGGTAAAACTTTTTTTTTTTGGGGGGGGGTCTGGTTGTATTAGGAATTATTTACAAATATTTTTCTGTTTTTTTGTTTTTGTTTTTTTTTGCAATGCTGAAGAGGATTGAGCCTAAGTTCTCATTACACTTTACCCCTGAACTATGACCCATTTTACAAAGATTTTCATTACTTGTTTGTATTGGTTATGACAAGATTTGTTTGGTCCCAGGTTATAGTTATTTGACTTTAAATATAGTCCTGCCTCCTTGTAAGCTGCTTTGAGATTCATAGATAAAAGATCCCATCAAAGATCAAGTTTTCATTGTAATTGTCTTTTTCCAACAAGAAATTGTATTAATGTGTCTGTTTTTGTTAGTTAATAAGGAAAACTTCTCTGAAGAATTTAAGAAGAGTAAGCTTATACTTTGTAACTATAGCTCTACCCATTTTGTTAGATATCTACTTCAGGGACATAGGAGAGAGACTATATAAAGAATATTTGCTTTTACAAAACAGAGTTATTAAGATACATTTTGTATGCCATATGATTCGCTCATTTAAAGTGTACAGTTGAGGCTAGGATGTCACTCAGTAGCAGAGCAGTTGCCTAGCGTGCTCAAGACCCTCGTTTTGAACCTTAGCATGCTCAAGACCCTCGTTTTGAATCTTAGCATACACTCACACACATCAAAATGTATCCAATTCATTAGTTTTTGGTAATATTTATAGATATGTCATCATCGTAGACTTTTAGAACATTTCATTACTTCAAAAAGAAACCTTTCTTCCTTTTTTTTTTTTTATCATTTACTCCTTGCCTCACCCCTTCTATCTCCAAACAGTGTATTCACCTACTTCCTGTGTCTTTGATTACTCTATCTGGACTTCATTGTGAATGAAATGTAATGGTATGTGGTGTTTTATGATCTCATCTTTCACTTAGTATATTGTTTTCAAGGTTCATGAATGTTGAAGCAAGTGATGAATGATTCTTCATTCTTTTTTAGGGCCAAGTAATATTGTATCAAATGGGTATATCACATTTTTAAAATCTGTTCATGAGTTGATGGGCTTAATAGCCAACTTTTGATTATTGTGAATAATGTTGCTATAAACATACATTTCTTTGTGGACATACATATTTTCTTAACTCAAATGTTGATCAGATTAGTGAATAAGCCATCTGAAAATGCTTATTACTGATGCGTGACTTGTAAAATCAACCCACTTGGTTATAAGTTTGCAAATATGTGTATATATGTATTTAATATACTGTCATCATTCACCAAGGCTGTAAACTAAATTTTAGAGATGATGCACAAGACCTTTGTTTTTTTAAGTTTTATTTTTAAAAGATATATAGGGAAGCACATATATCATGTTAGGGTACCTGTGTCTGCACATGTATGTATTTCTGTTTGAAGTGTTTAAATTTTTACTTAGGAAATATCAAAGAAAAAGTTTGTGATCAGTATTTGTTAACAGTATTGTGAAAATATATTAAGGAAAATGGTACCTAAAAAAACGATTTTCTTAATATAATGGACTCTGCATTTTTTACCTCAGTAAATTAATAAGTTTATAAATAACAAGTAATGACAACTGGATATGTAACCATATAGTTGTGTGTTTGTATTTAGTGATTTGTGCCTCCTGAGGAACTGCCCTCTCCATCACAATCCTCAAGATGAGTTTTCCTTTTCCTTTCTGGTGAGGAGCCAAGTGATGGAGTGTCTAATAGTCTTTCCTAAGGTGTATTACTGTTACTATATTAATATTATAGTAAATGAACTTCATTCTTTCTAAGAATTTCTAAGTAATATACTATTTAGATATCAGAATTTTGCAAATGGATTACTCTTTCAAGGGCTTCTTAATTAGAACATAAATTTCAGAATGTAATCTTTCCTTTTATTTTTTATGGTGCTAATTTTTGTGTGCTAGTTTGAACCTGGGGCCTTGTACACAGTAGGCAAATACTCTACTGCTAAGCTGTACCTCATCTTGATCTTTTCTTGATTATTTAATGTTTATAATATTATAAATAGTCAAGATTTTGTTGAAGGTTTTAAAATTTTTTTTTTTTTTTTTTTGCAGAACCAGGGATTGAACTCAGGCCCTTGTGCTTGCCAGGCAAGCACTTATTCTACTGAGCCATCTCCCTGGCCCCCTGAAGGTTTATTTTATTTTATTTTAAATAAAGTACTAGTAGGGTAACAATGGTTAATCCATTGTATATTGTTATTTTTAAATTAGTTACTCAGAGTACAAGATATCAACATTTAATTGTCCAAACAATATTAGCATACTTTTTTTTTTAAAATAAACTAAGACAAATTAGTAGTATAACTATCTTAACTCCATACATGTATTTTTTTAATGTATCTGTTTTAATACTTAGATTTTTGATCCATTTTGAATTTAGTGCATGGTGAAAGATGTGGATCCAGTTTTAATCTCAGCCTGTGCAGAGCCAGTTTTTCCAGCACCATTTACGAAAGAGTCTTTTTTTTCCAGGGAATGTGTTTGGTACCCTTGTCAAAGATAAAGTAGAAGAATATGTCTGGAGTTGTTTCTGCATCTTCTAATCTGTTCCATTGGCTTTGGAGTCTTTTTTTTTTTTTTTTTTTTTGCTAGTACCATGCTGTTTTTATCATAGTAGCTTTATAGTATAATTTGAAGTCTAGGATTGTGATGTCCCCTGCCTTGCCTTTGTTGCTCAGAATAGCAAATGCAGTTTGGTTCTTGTTCCAAAAGAATTTTAAGATTGTTTTCTCTAATTTTTGAGATATGCTGTTGGTAGAAGGTTTTTTTTTTTGGAGGCCCGAAGATGCCTTTAGGGCATTTCTGGTTTGCCATGAGTATCTGGATTTGAACCACAGCAGCTTGAGCTTGAGTGCTTTGTTTAAGCAGGCACTTAAACAACTGAGCTAATGGGCAGGCCCCCATGCTGTTGGGATTTGGATTGGAATTGCATTACATCTTTATAATAGTTTTGGGGCGTATGATCATTTTCACTATATTGCTTTTTCCTACCCAAGAAGAAGGGATATCTTTCTGTTTTCTGGTATGTTCTCTTCAATTTCCTTTTTCCTAGTACTGTAGTTTTCAGTGTAGAGGTCTTTTACATTGTTTATTGAATTGATTCTTAGATATTTCATGTTTTTTGATGCTAGTATGTCACTAATTTTTTTTTTTTTTTTTTTTTTTAGGATAGGGTCTACAGGGTCTCACTACATAGATCCAACTTATAGTAATTCTCTTGTTTTCAGCCTCCCAAGTGGTGGGATTACAGGCACATGCTACCATGCCCAGCCTCAATCACCATTTCAGCACGCCCTGTGGGCAGGGCCAGCACAGCAGCCCGGGGATCGAACCCCCAGCCTCTGCGTCTGCCTAAGCAGGTGCTTTAGTCTGCTGAGCTATCAGGCCGGCCCTTGATGCTAGTATGAAAGGTGTTGTTTCCTTAATTTCTTAGTGAGTGTTCAGGAAGGCTATTGAGTTTTGAGTGCTGATTTTGTATCCAGCTACACTACTGAATTCGCTTATTATATTTAGTAGTTTTTTTATGTATTTAGTACAGAGTCTACAGGGTCTCCCTACACAGGTCAAATTTGCAGTGATCCTTCTGTCTTTCAACTTCTCAAGCACTGGGATTACAGGCGCGCACCACCACACCCAGTCTCAGTCGCCCTTTCAGAGCACCCCTGGGGGTGGGGCCAGCATGGCAGGCCAGGGATCCAGCCCCCGGCCCCTGTGTGTGCCTAATCAGGCTCTTCAATCTGTTGAGCTATCTGACTGGCCCTACATCTAGCAGTTTTTTAGTGGAGTTTTTGTGGTGTTTTATGTAGAGTATCATGTTATCTGCAAATAGTAATTTCACTTCTCCCTTTCCTATTTTTATTCTTTTTTTCTTTTTCATCTAATTGCTCTGGCTAAAGGTACAGAACTATGTTGAATAATAGTGGAGACATTGGACACCCTTGTCTTCTTCCTGATTTTAGAGAGGAAAGCTTTCAGTTTTTGCCCATTTATCATGATGTTGGCTGTTAATTTGTCATATAGCTTTTATCAGACTGAGATAAAGACCATCTATTCCAATTTTCTGTAGCGTTTTTATCATGAATGAGTGTTGGACTTTGTCAAAAGCTTTTTCTGCCTCATTTGAGATGATCATATGATTTTTGTCCTTGGCTCTGTTAATATGGTATATTACATGTATTTATTTACCTACGTTGAACTATCCCTATATTTCTAGGATAAACCCCACTTGGTCACTGTGTTTAATCAATCTTGAAGATTTGCTGCATTATGTTTGCCAATATCTTATTGATGAATTTTAAACGTATGTTCATGAGGGAGATTGGCTTGTATTTTTCTTTATTACTTGGGTTCTTCTCTGGTTTTGGTATTAGAGTAATGCTAATGTTGTAGTAAGGCAAGGGAAAATAATACAGGACACATACTTCATAAGATTATTTTATAGTAATAATCCAAAGAATCATATACAAAGTGAGTTCAGGAAATCCGTTCACACACTAAGGCTAAAAGAAAATCCAGCTGAGGGCCTGGATCTTATGGTATTGTCAGGCATGAATCTAGCTGAAGACCTAGAGTCCATAACAATGCCCTCCACGAGTCCACCTGGAGGCCAAGAGCCCCTACAATGTCTCATGCAGGCCTTTTTCACAGACCTGCACTGGGGAGGCTCAAAGATAAGTGGTGGAAGCTAGAAAGTCTGTGCTAGTAGTATGAAGGATCTGTGCTAGCAGGCTGGGGGATCTGCCCTGTAGTCAGAAAGCAATGCTCAAAGTAAGAACGAGAGTTCCCCTGAAAGGTACCACAGCCATCCTCAGTGACAGTGAGATCCTGAGTTACTCTGAGAATGAGAACAGCCGAGTCTGTATTAGGACAGCCAACGCAACAAGCTTCTCCAGGACATTGAACAGTGTACCATACTCTGCTCCAGAGCTAGGAAGTAGTGCTCAAAGTAAAGACCACTTTCCCCCAAAGTGAACCGTAAGCATTCTCAGAGACAAGATCCTGAGCTCCTGTTGAGAACAGCTGCATTCTCATTAGGAAAGTGAGCATGACAGGGTTCTCTCAGAGGACCAACAACCTCAGGAGCACCAACAGCTCCCTAACAGCTTCTCTTTTCTGGTTCTTTCTCTTATGCTGCTGGCAGCAATCCTCAGGTGGGCCTCCCACACCCAGCACCATGCTGGTTTGGTTCAGCTGGGAGTTACAAGTTGACCATCAGTTGTCAGTCTACCACAGCTTGCTTCCAGGAATGAATTGGGAATATTGCTTCCATTTTGATTTTATTAAAGAGTTTGAGAAGTAGTGGCATTAGGTCTTTCCTGAATTTCTTGTAAAATTCAGCAATGAATCTGTCAGGACCTATACTGTTCTTTGTTGGTAGGTTTTTAATGACATCTTTGATTTCATTGAGTAATACTGATTTATTTAGGATTTTTATATTTCTTGATTTAGCTTTGTTAATTTGTATGTATCTAGAAATCTCCATTTCTTATGCATTTTCCATCTTATTAGAATTGAAGTTTTCAAAGTAGGTAGAAGATCTTTTGGATTTCTGTAGGGTCCATTGTGATTTTATCCTTTTTATTCCTTTTTGTGTGGGTTTGAGTCTTTTTTGGTGCGATTGGGTAAGGTCTTGTTGATTTTTACATAATCTTTCAAAAACCAACTGTTTGATTCATTGATTCTTTGTATTTTTTATTGTTTTTGGTCTCCGATGCATTAATTTCTGTTCTGATCTTTCATGAGCTTTTTGCTTAGCCTGCTTTTCTTTTTTTCTAAAAGTTTGAGGTTCACCATTAAGTTTATTTGCCTTTGCTCTGTTTCTCTGATATGGACCATTATGAATTGATCAGAGTCAGTGGTTATTGACTTAGGGATATTCACTGCTATAAACTTCTCTCTTAGGATTGCTTTCATTGTGTCCCATAAGTTCTGTTACTTTGTATTGCCATTATCATTTAATTGTAGAAACTGTCTAATTTTTAATTTCATCTGTGACCCACTGATTTTTCAGGAGGGTGCTGTTCAATTCCATGTGTTTATGAAATTCTTGTAGTTTCTTTTGCTATTGCTTTCCAATTTTATTGCACTATGGTCTGATAATATGCTTGGGATAATTTCAGTTCCTTTGCATTTACTTAAGCATGTTCTATGAGCTATTATGTGGTCTATTTTGGAGAATATTCTGTATGCAGCTAAGTCCACTTGTTCAAGAGTTTGGTTCGGTTCTAATATCTCATTGTTGATTTTTTTTTTTGGTCTCGTTTATCTGTCTTTTTGTGACAGTGGAGTGCTGAGATACTTCAATACAATTGTATTAGTGCTCATTTGATTTTTTACATAGTTAATATTTTCTTATAAATTTGTTGCACTGGTATTTGTTGCATATGTATTTAAGTTTGTTATCCTCTTCCTCTTGGATTGTTCCCTTTACAAGGATGTAGGGACCTTCTTTGTCTCTCTTAATCATTCTTAGCTTCAAATTCACCTCGTCTGCAAATAAACTACCTACCCCTGCTTTCTTCTGCGTTCCTGTTGCATGGGAGTATTTTTTTTCCCGTCTTTATTTTCTCTGTGCCCAGCTTAGCCTGTGCTGGGAGCAGGGCTGGCGCTGCATGTGGTGCCACAGATTGAATCACAGTCCCCGCACTTGCCTGAGCTCACCTAAGCAGGTGCTTTTGTCCGCTGAGCTATCGTGCTGGCCTGTTTTCCATCTTTAGACTTTCAGTCTATGAATATATTTCTGAATTGAATGTGTTCCTTGTATGCTGTATATTGTTGGATCTTGCTTCTTGGTCCATTCAGCCAGTCTTTTTGGTGAATTGAGACCATTAGTATTGATGGTTATAACTGTTCTTATCATGCTATTTTCCTATTTTTGGCTCCCCTTTTATTTTACCCTCTCTCTATTTAATTGTTTGCCTGACCTGGTGTATTCCTTCTGTTGGGGTTCATGGAGGTGTAGTCCTTGTTATCTCTTTCTATAATGTTCTTCAAAAATTTTGAAATGCTAGTTTGGTAGTTATACATTTCCCCAACATAATGAGAACTTTCTGTATTGTGTATAATACTTGCCTTTGTATCAATTTTCTTAATGAATGCATTCAGTTAATTATTTTCACTAAAGAAAAATAAATGCTAAACTATAGCATTGTTAAACTGAAATCTCAGTTGCTTTTTATTTCCTTGATTATATTTACATCTCTGATATTTTCTTGTGATTGACTGATTTAAAGTTTTAAGAGTACATGGCACCAAAGTTTTCCTTGGCTTGTATAGTGATTAAATTTTATTAATTTCTCATTATTTGAATAATCAGGAATTAAATAGCATTTTTCTTCTTAACATTTTATCTCCTCATCTCTCAGGTTAAATTTACTGAAAAGCTTAAATAGGAATTATAAAGTGTTTTATTCAGTGCTTATATGATGAATAGTGTGCTGTCTTGGCTCAAAAAAATCAAGATTTAGGTATTTTAAACTGCAAACTGAGTTAAACAATTAGGAGTCACTTATTATGCATTAAAGGCATTGAAATTGGTTTTCATTATGTGTTTTAACAGGTTCCTGTTTATCCTAAGTTATGCGGCATGTTATTTCTTAAAATTTCAGAATTAATTTCATTAATAGTACCTGCATTAGAATATGTAGGTATTATATATGTATGTGTTTCTGTAGATATACAGAAATTGTCTCACACCATGTAGAATTGCTTTGGTACAGTTTAATATCATAGGACAAGAAATATTTGTTAAGGAAAAAAACAGCTTACCAGTGCATAAAAATTGAATGGTAATTAGTATAGTGTTTTTATATTAACAAGTCATTTTTATCTCTTTTTGTTCAACTAATTCTTTTTTTGATTTTTAGGGAGAAAAAAATAGTGGATTTGATGTACTCTACCATAACATGAAACATGGGCAGATATCGACAAAAGAACTAGCTGACTTTGTAAGAGAAAGGTATGTAATTTTTATAGGTAATTTATTAAAATCTTAGTTTTTTTGTTGGACTTGGAATAAGCAAAACTTAAAAAAAATTCTATAATTATATGTTAAAGTAGTTTTTAAAAATCATCTATGCCCATGGAGACTGTATAATGGCTCAAAGTAATATTACTGATTGACAGTATTGTCAATACTGATTGACAGTATTATTTACTTATTTTTCATTGCATGTATTAGCAGAGTGATGCAGGAAAAATTGATGAATTTTGTAGGATAAAATATTGCCATTTATTTAAATAAGCATGTTAAAATAATTTCAAAAGAGTGTTTTCTAACCTGGATATGGTGGTACATGCCTGTAATTCTAGCACTGAAGAAGGCCAAGGCAGGATTATTGAAAGTTGAAGTCCTGTTTGGGTAATTTAACAAGATCTTGCTTCAAAAGAAAACATTGAAAGGGCTCAGTTTATACCAATCACAAGAAATCCAGGACTCATTTCTTCCTT